AAGACAAGCCTGTCCCTGCCTGCAGCAGGGACCTGCCTCCCATCTGCTCTTGCTGTGATTTCAGGCGACTGCAGAGTTCTTTTTGGAAGGTCCCTGACACCACCAGCTTGAAGGCAGATGGCACTTGCAGGCAGTCTCAGCACCTTCGCCATAATAAAGGAGAGCCAGATGCATATAATCCGGCTGAAAGGATTTACTATGGGAAGCAAGGACAGGAAGACAAGTCCATCCTCCCTAGGACTGCCCAGGTGGGAAGGACTGACCTGTAAAATGGGCTCATGCTTCAGAAGATTGAGGCTTGCTGTGGCTGTCGCACACTGACTCAGCACCACACTGAGTGGATCTGGGCATAAAGCGACTGAAGTTGTTTTATAACTTTCAAATTTACTTTAACTGATAATCCTGAGAAGCTGCTCATTCATAAAACCAAAGGGGTTTAAGCTGAGAAGGAACCCCTGTGACAATCCCCATGTGTCCTCTTCCACCAGTTACTGCAGCAACATGTTCATGACTTCTGGCTGAGCTACCATGATTTGAAAGTCATCCATCTTGCACTGAAGCACAGGTAGCCTTAGGGGCCCAATCAAGTGATGGAAAATTCATCATATCCTTACAAAGTCACAGTGGTTAATTACCTTTCTTGTTTAAAAAATAGAGGTTGTCTCCATTCTAGTTTGACTTTGTCCAGCTTCAGCTCTCAAACCTTTCTGGTTCTGGGGACATGTCTCTATGTCCCCTAGTGAGAATCACTTTCTCAGAGTATATGTGTCAGTGGTAAGTGTAACAGAGATTTAAATTATTCATTATGATAAAAAAATCAGAACATTCTTATTATCAGTAAAACCATTCATTTTTTTTGTCATGGATCCTGTAGTCTCAAGAACGTGTGATGAGTTCCACAGACTGAAACACTCATAAATGTGGAGAAATGCAATTTATCTGTACCGTGGGTCTACCTGGAAAAATGAGCCCTACACAAATCAACCCACTGGAGTGACAGAACATAAAAGGGACTGCAGTAAACTGAAGGGCAATAGCAGTACCTGGAAATTAGGGATGGGGTTTAACGTTGGCAGCCAGGCTGATCTTGGGTTTTCTTGGTAACGGAAAGGGCCATTAAATGCCTGAGTAATGGCACTCAGATTGAAGGCACACACTGCTGAGGCAGCTATGCTGTTTCTGGAAAAGGGAAGGAAAAAGATCAATTTAATCATTAGAACATTGACATTTTCATCATAACAGACACCAGACTCCACTCCAAAAAAATCCATGTAAATTGCTAGGTAGATGTACCATGATACCAGGCTCACAGTAAAAATAAATAAATAAATAAGCAAACAAACTGTAAAATGCAGATGACTTGCATGACAATTTCAGTTTGGTTTTAAAATGGCAGTGATTTAAGGGCCATGGAAGCAGTTCTGACAAGAAAGGTGAATACAGTTTAATTTGCATGGATTATTTGTGTCTGGTTATATGTTTGTTTTGGTTTTTTTAAACCGCCCATCTATCATTATTGATTACAAACAATGTAATTTTTAATCCCTTTGTCTTTCTCAAGGTGAAATTCTGTTCCTACAGGTTCCTGAATTCTTCAGCTACAAAATATATCACCTAATTTTATGTTCATGTATGCAAAAAAAGGTCTGGCTAATTCACGCAAGCCTCTGTTTGCAATGACCACAGTTCACTTCTTCCTGCTCCCAGATGGGAACAGCATCTGTCCAGGGCAGACTGTTCATCACACACACACACACACCATCCAGGGGAGGCACAGCTAGGGAAATGCTGCTGTAGGAAGGACTCTTTGGAAGGAAATTTGTTTTAGGGATGCTCTGCAGTCCAGTCAGACTTGGACATAGATCAGTTGGCCTCTGCTGTTCCATTTCAGCCCTGGAGGACCCATTTCTACAAGGTGCTGAGCCAGCTCAGCTCCTTTTGCCTCAAGAGGGTTGGAGGACTCTTCCTATATGGTAAGGGCACCTCAAGGAAACTGGCCCAGAGACATTTGCTAAGTGGCAACTGGAAATTCAAACCTGCTCCCATTTCTGCCCTTCCCACCTGCCTTTTTTTCCCCTTCTTCTTTAAAGAAAAACTACAAACTTTCTACATTTAGAGAGAACTGTATCAGAATAAAACTAAAAATAGGGCTAGCACAAGAGACTGACTTGTCATGGTGCCTTTTAAATAACCCAAGCCCTGCTATATGTATCTTTCTGTTAATTAAAGCAATTTGAATTCTCTGAAAAGAACATTTTCCTTTTTTTTTTACTAAACCAATAATTACACTCTCCTGCATACAAAAAAAAAGCTTTTCTCCACAATCCTGGGCTGGGAAGCAGAAGAACAGATTCTTTCACAGCATATTTCTTCTGAGCAATGCAACATCAGGAAGAACTTCCTGCTTTGCTTTCCTATTCTCCTCTCTGCCCCTGCCCCTTCCATCCCTGGAGTGATGGAGTAGCTCACTTTGAACATGTCAAAGCAGTGCTGGGCAAACCCTTCTCCACTTTTGTCTGAACACCACTGCCGCAGTGTATGCTCACAGACAGCAGCTCTTAAGACAAAGCTAATGATGGATGACAAGTAAATGCCTTGAGGCACACACATTAAAAAAAAAAAAGAGATGAGAAAGCAAATGAAAAAGGAAAAGAAAGAATAAAATCCCACTAGTCTAACAAAAATACTTTGGTAAAAAAAAGCATATTTTTCGGACCCTGCTCTGGGCTCCATAGTTTAGCCCTTTGCCTTTGCTGGAAAGGAGAAAGGAAAGAGGTTTTCCATTAAATCTGTGGACCATTTTCCTTTCTGTCAGTGGCCTGGCATATTTCCCACCCCTCCTTGTGAAAGGTTCGATCCCAGTCTCAAGCCAGTGACATCAACTGATGCAGCTGGCTGCTGTGTTCTCCTGGTGTGAAGTACAACCTCCTTAACTCCCACCTCCTACGCCCCATGATTAACTAGGTGTTTTAGAGAATGGGTTAAGTTCAAGGAGGTTTTAACATTGACTCTGTTACCTCCCAGAAAAATTTTAATAAAAACATCTTAAATATTTCAGCAGCAGCTTCCCCCAAAAGCTCTTTCTCACTGATTCAGCTGGGTATAATGTAACATGAAGCAATAAATCTATATGTGGGTGTTACCACAACCACTATTTCCCCTTTGTTATAAGATGACCCTAAATTCATTAAGCATGAAACTTCCAAAATAAAATTACCTGTAAACAAACAAAAAAAAAATCATAATTTTGTGATGCACTGGTATTTTATTGTAAAGAAACCCAGACTGGTGCATACATTAACTCTCTTTGGTATGCAGAGCTCATACAGCATGATTTAAGTCCCAGTGGAAGTTAAAAGAATAATTACCATTATTTCTCTAGTCAGATGACAAATTGGAAAATTTTTTTCTTTGAACTCTCAAACGAACACCATATTGTAGGCTCAAAACACTATTTGATCTAACTTCAGTTACTATCAATAACTAATTTCTTCAATTACACAAATGTTACATATTATATTGTCTTCAGAAGATCCAAGAGAGAACATACATCCCCAATGTATGACGAGTGACTTAAGTGTACCCAAAGCAGACAAGTAATACTCATCACATCTCATGTTAAGCCTGGGAAACAGACACAGCAGAAGAGAACTCTCCCAACCAGAGCTAGTCTATGTCTCACTCCTCATAGTCCGAAAACTTCACCAATTTGGTAAACATAATACAGTTCTTAACATTTTTCTCCTTTCTAACTTCTGTTCTTGGCTGGGTGAATGGACAAATGGAAAGATAAAACTTTATTGCTGTGGCCATAGAACCTTCTTCAATTGCAAAAAAAAATAATTTAAAAACAAATGGTCAGCTCATGTGCCCAAAGCAGTAGCCAGGTTTCCTGTTAGTGTTCAAGATGTTTGGCTAACACCCTCTAAATGGTTTTAGAAAATGACTCATGCACCTTTCAGTCTGAGGACAGATCTTCCCCAAAGTCCACAGTCAAGGTGCAGTGCTCCATCATGTTTATTTTTTTTAGTTGCTTCTCCACTGGCTCACTTTTGACTGATGTTGACAAAGGTGGAGCAGAAACAAAACATGGAAGATGGACGAGGGTGACCAAACACTTAACCTATTTCTTGGAACTTAGAGAGTGGAAATAACATCTGGGAACTTAGAGAGTAGAAATAACACCTGGGCTCTGTTGACTCACAGTGAAACTCCCAACAGTGCTTTAGCTCAAGAAGTTGGGGCTGATGCTTTGTGATTTCAAGGCCTGAAGTTCAAGCCCTGCCACACCAGCAGGTGACACATTAAAATAGGAAGGCTTGTACATCAGCAGGGCTTCACTTCCTTGATTTGCTGTGGGCTTCTTGGGAACAGACCCTTACTCATATTGCACAGTACACCATTGCACATAAAAACCCCAAAGAAGTTGGCTACCCAGCATGAGGAAGGCACTTTGAGCTTTTGCCATGTGGAGTAACTACTCAGATTTTCACTCTCTAGTTTACACATCAGGATAACACCCCCCTGGAGAACATGTATTATTGAAACTCAATACCATGCAGACTGGTTATAGCTTGAAACTTATCATCCTAGCCTGGGGCAGCAGAGAAAAAGTTATTTGAGTTTTCCTGACTTAAAAATGTGTGTTATGAGTTTTTTAATATATTTTTTAATTAACTTCTCTTCTACTTTCTGCTTTCACAGCTACACTAAATCATTCCAATTACAAGGTTTTTCGATATCAAGCCAAGAAGAGGTGATTATGAAGTATCAGAAATCATGCCTTCCCCTCAGAGTTCTAACACTGCTTTTGATTTGTGGACCTGAAACAGTCTGTAGTGGAGATACAGTCCCCCCTGGAAATGTCAAACACCTCGTGGCCAGCATGAACTTGCCCTTATAGCATTGTTCAACAGCAATATATGTTGATTTCAATGTAGTGATCCCATCTGCCTCATTCTTCTTCCAGTGTTCTTTCCCAAGTGTATGTACTTGTCCATCTCATGGGCCAGCTCCGACATTCACACAATTGTGTCAGATTGTCCAGGCAGTTAGCCTGGCTGGAAATTAATTCTGTTTTTCTGTTGGGTCATTTTTTAGATCAGCTCTCTGAACTGCACAAGTAGCACTGTCATTACAAAAAGTCAGAAGTCTGTCACTGCCCAAGTTTATATAAAATTAAGGTACCCTAGAACTGCACAGTCACCTTTTTACAGACTCTAGCAATCTATGAACCATGGATTTAAAACACTGTCCTAAAGGCTATGTTGCCATGATGGATCACGCAGCCCGATCTATTTCTTCATGTTAACCAAAGGATCTTTCAAAAATGATTGCTCAGACTGTCTAAGAAATCAATATATTGTCAGTCTCAGACTGCTGGGGATAGAAGAAGGGCAGTAAAACCAGTGCAACTTACACATTAGTAGTGAAGACACCATAGATCAGATCTTGCTCAGGAAGGTAGAAGGTGCTTTGCAACTCATTGTAATAGAAAGGGATTTCTCCAGCACGGGAGCAGTTCAGTCTGGCCTTCATGAAAGTTGTCCATGTGTCCTCCAGCAAAAATCTCCCTCCGATATCATTTTTGCAAACCCTTGCTACACGAGAATACACTGTTTTCCCACAGTCGTGTTCCACCGCATTCTCACGGAAGAAGAAGTAGGTGAACAAGCCGATGTCGTAGGCGGCAATAAAGTTAGGCTCTGAAAAACAAACATTTGAAGAGATTTATACAGGTTGGAAATCAATCCATGCTCACTGACTTGCTCAATGCATTGCACTGCCAGCTCCCTTTATGCAGGCTGTCAAAGCTGGGACCACTGGGAGTTTGGAGTTAGCAGAAGACATAAAAACAGTAGATGGGAATAATGATATATGGGGATATAGCTCTAGTACCTTTTTTCAGATCTTGGAAAGACCTCATTGTTTCCCCACTTTATTGGCAAAGCTGCTACTGATTTCAGTGAAAGTAGAGTTCAACACTTTGCATATGCATGACTTCTCTGTACCTATACTCATTTTACAACATAAAAACCTTCCCGTTGGGCTCCTTCACCTATTCACTTCTGAAGTGCACCTTATGATGTGTTAAATATGCTGAGTGCATCCGCCCAATTCCCCAGGCTGCTGCACTGAAACGTTCAACCTAGTCTCACATCTGGCTTTTATCATGAAACCTTTCCAGTTTCTAGGCACAAAAGACTATCTTATGTCCATAAAATAAAACCATGCCACAGACTGACAGTAGTGAAACAAGGTCTCCTTAATTCTTTTTTTCTCCTAGAATTATTGTTATTATTTTCACAAGAATTGAAAAGAACTTGGAATTGCTTTGGTAGTGAATATTTTAATTGGGTATTTAACAAAGCTTTAAAGTGTATAGTCTTTTATCCTAACAGTTTCTTTGGCAAAGGGAAAAGATTGGCCAATGACTAATATTTGACCAAACAAACAAAAAAAACCAAAACCAAAACCCTGTTGGTTATACAGGGTGCTTTTAAAATGTTCATTTCTCAGCAAAGCTCAAAGGAAGAAAGAAAAAGGGAAGTACAGAATTCCTTTAATGCTGCATCCCAGGAGTGAAAGGAAAACAGAGTTGTGGTGGAGGGGAAGGCAGGCTGCTGCTACTGCAAGGCAGGTTTGGGAGACACAGTGGTACAGAGGGAGGGCACTGCAAAGCATCTCTAGTCAAACTTTCTCCTTCAAACAAAACATGCACCTTGAAGGGACCACTGCGATCACCGACCTGACCTTCCGTCTAACACGAACCAGAGAATTTCACCCTGTAATTCCATTATCGGATCCTGCAACTAACAGGTGAATTAGACCTCATCTTTCAAGGGAGATCTGATCTCACTGGACAATGTCACATGGCTTCACATCCCTCACTTTCCTCAGTGACTTGTTCAAATGACTGAAGACTGACCCAGCTGCAACCTGCACTTCTTTTCCCATTTGACATTATCAGGTTTCAGCTTCCAATCACAGGTTCTTGTCACGACTTGTCTGCTAGATTAAAGAACTTTATCCTGCTTGAAATCTTCTCTTGATGTAAGTACTTCCATATCATGAACAAAACACCTTTTATCGCCTTTTCAGAAAGATAAATAAATTGAGCTCCTTAAGTCTCTCACTGTGAGGCAAGCTTTCCAAGCTTCAAATCACTGCATGGTTCTTCTCTGAATCACCTTCAAGTTTTCTGTTTCTTGTTGAAAAGTGGCCAGAACAGAATGAAATTACTCCAATGTCACCAATGCTGTTATCCAAGAGTCCAAGAGTCACATTAGTTTTTCCAGTCACATACTAGAACCTGAGTTACTGTTTGTCTTTCTTAAACTCCCCTGTTCCAATGCGGCTTCCTTCTGGATCTTTCATTCGTGTGCAGACAAGAGGAATGTATTCCTAATGAATGTACAGGGGCTGTAATGTTTCTTGGTCCTAATTCACAGTCTTGCCTCAAGACATCTTTTTCTAAAACTGTGGATCTCCATACTGAGTTCAGTATGCCTGCAGAAGCCTAGTTCAGTCTCACTAAGCTACATAGAGTGCACACTCCCACTGCTCTTATCTTTAATTGAAAGGTCCTGAAACCCAACAGAAAGATTCTGAATAACTTCTCAACTTACCTGGGTAAAAGGAGAGAGGGGGAATTTGGGGTCTCCATCACTACAGTCTGCTCAGACAAGAAGTGCTTTTCCCCAGTCAGAAAGTGTGGACTCAGTGCAGGGATTACTGGTTGAAATTCTACAGCTTGCTTGAGGCAGGGTATTATCACATTGGGGAAAGAGCTGCTTTTAATAGCTATAAATCCACAACAGCATGGATTCACATGGAACATAACGTGAAATTTCTCTTTTTTGGACTGATCTTGCACCGAAACCAACCATCTTCAGCTGAGTCAGTGGAAGTAGAGAATTCTTATTACTCTGCAGAACTGGGTCAACAGTATGATGCTTTAAGTTGGTTTTGATCTTCAAATCTTTCAGTGGATTTCTTACAAAAATGATGCATTTGGTCACCTCATAAAACAGTGACCCATATATATGTTAAATAGCCTATAAGACCCACTTTCTATATTCTACATCAACTTCTCTGAAATACATCCAGGCTCCTTTTAAATGTCTTCTAAGATGCACTGGCTATTGCACCGGAAGCCCTTCCCCATCGCAACTTTGGATCTCAATATGAAAAGAGAGAGAAAGATTTACAAGCCTGTCAAGCTGACTTTAATACATCTCTTGCTCAGATGTGACCCACATGACTTTACCATTGAGCCATTTGGAGTTGTATTGTGCTGTCCTAAGTGGGGGAACATTTCCAAGGCTGCGGTAAATAGCAGGATCCCGTCCAGAAAAATCAATCACAGTTGCAGCATAGAGTTCTCCTCGTGATGTAATCACAGCTGTCGAGTTATGCCGAGGGTCATATGGGCACCGAGCCACTCCATTAATTCTGTCAATGATTTTGCTGAGATTTCCTACCTGTATTTAAAAGGAGAGAGAATTTAAAGAGCATCTGGCTTTCTTATTGGTGTAGAGGATTCAGTTTGCCCATGAGTACCCATGAGCAAAGCCTTGATTTTAAAAAAACAGGTAGCCATGGGAATGCAATGTCAGTGATGACTAAAAATTGATCTTTACATCCAACGCTTGCCAGTGTAAGAAGTTGTGTCTGAGCCTCACTGATCCTACTACTTTGTACAAAGGGTAATTCCCCAGCCTACAGGCCTCAACCCACTCGGTGTAATCAGGTGCTCCTGCTGCTCTCACATGTTTCTAATCTTCCATAGACACCTCCCAAATACATACTGGCATTAAAAAACAGAAAAATAAACATTGCTCTGGACCTGCTCCTGTCTCCCTTGAAGTCAAAGGGAGTTTTGCCATTTATTTTAAAGAAACCTATAAGTATTCAGCTCAGGAGGTACTCACAGCTAAGCTTTTCTATATTCCCCATTTTCAGCACCTGAAGGTTTACCTGAGCAGCATTTTGTCCAGATCCAACTCACCCATAACACAAGCTTTTTGCTCCCCAACTGCAGATACACTCATTGCCCCAAAGGGCCCCAAGGGACCCAAAGAAGAAAACCAAAATAATTTCAGGTCAGCTACATTTAGAACATATTCTCTGTAGCCATGAAGCCCTGCCAAATGACTGCCCTTCCCCAGAGCATGTATCCAGCCCTCTCCAACACTGTAAAAGAGGCAAAACAGACCTGTCGACTGGAACACACTGGAGAAAAGGCATTGGTACCACAGGTAAAAACCTTCTTGCCATAAACAATCAGCACTCGGACATAGTTCTGGCACTCTTCCTATAGGGACAAAAGACAGACAAAGGATTTTTGAAAAGGAGATTGTGGGATCATTTATTACATTAAAAGAAATATTGCATCTGGAATACAACTTCCTTAGCTTTAACTTGGGCTGAGGTTTGTTGCATCAAGCAGTGCACAGCTGCAGGGAGCTAGTGGTCCAAGTGAGCAAGCCCAATTTGCTGTTTTTTTCTCTAATCAAGCCCTGCACAGTCCCTGGATAGGATGTTATCCATCAGGTTGACTCTGCTATAGCTACACAAGTGCCTCTTTCTGTGCTCTGCTTATACTGGAGTAGAAATGCTCCCTCTTTCCATGATGATACTTCTGACCTATTTTCCCAGTAATGCTGCAGCTTTGAAAACATTACCCAGACACAAACTCCAGTAAAGGACAGCAGGTCTGTCTGCACTATAATTCAAAACAATGCCAGCAGGAAAACAGCAGGAACTTCTCTTTAATAGACCAGGCTGGTCAGGAGAATTTCGTGCTTGAAGAGGCTGTTCCTTCCTGCCTCCCAGAGGATTGTGTGCTCACGAGTTTCCATGGTAGAAGGAGTTTCTCTTTCAGGTCAGGCCAATGAGAAATAGCAAATTCCCTCTTCTCAGTTGTGTGACCAATTGCCAGTCCCAAAAGATGTGGGGCTTCTGTCATCCCACACTGGGGTATGGGTGGCTGCACAAGGTTGCAGTTGGCTTTTTCAGAAAATTGCCTTCATGTCGTTGGACAGAGCCACAGTCTCTCTTCTTCCCCACAGCCTCACATCCAGAGACCTGTGGACTGCAGACTGGGCTAACTGAGCATCACCCAGAATTGAGCAGCAGGGGAGGAAGAAGCCACATGAGGCAGGAACTTTCTAACAGTACACACAGGGAAAGGGAGGTGCAAGAGTGGTGTGCAACTCCCACAGGCAGTGCAAGAGGCTTGAGAGCTGCCTGCCCCAAGGATCATCCAAACAGTCCTGATGAGAGATGTGCAGTGAGCCTGGCTCCAGCCTGTGCTGGGCTCTGGGGCCACCTCAGAGGAAAGGATATGTGCAATAGCTAATGACTGGCACCCATTGGGCTCCACGTGAAGAAAGTCTATTCTATTGTACCGTAAACAGAAAAAGAAACTTGCTAAAAAATAGCAACCTCAGCTAGGTTATCCTGGCTGTTTTGCTTTCCTCCCTCCAACAGATCATTTGCCATGAAGCTGAGCCTAGAGCTGCAAACACCACTTCTCCTTCTGTAAGCAGCAATCACTCCCCAAGCTTTTCTGTCTCACAGCACTCCACACTGTTGATCATTTCCCTAAAGACTTCATTTGCAAGATTCAGCAGTGTAAAAACACCCCCTATCATCTGGAAAGGAAGGGGTTTGCTTAGCTGGATTACATGCTATCTTCTTTCATTTACTGTATGGAAATTGACTTGTTGAAGGATAGAATTTAGCAGAAACCCACTAGCATTACCCACAGACAGCGACTGCATGCGGTGCTTGCTTTCGAATGGAGAAGATCACAGGGACTGCACTCCAGAGCCAACCCAGGAGCACTCACCCAGCCTAGGCAGAGGCCACAGAGTGCCAAAGAGCAGGTGCTGCCAGTCTTGAGGCTCAGCAGGGGCATAGTGGATCAGATACATAATGCCTGGCACCCAAAACTGAGAGCTTAGATTCATAGCTGGGTCAACTCAGCACTTATTTAAGAAGCAGATCAGTCATGGTGACTGTGTATCAGTCTATCAAACAGAACCTTGAGAAGCACTGTCCCACCTGCTGTGTGTTGAGAATAGAGGTCTCATTGCTTCCTTTAACAAGATGAAGGGATTGCCAGCCTCTCTGCCATCTCCTGTCATTGCTGTATGGTGCTGTGAGCCCTGTCAGTTACTCCTCATCCTAGAGCTGTCTGCATTTCATGACTGGGTTAAGTAATTCCACTTTCTGTAGTGCAGTTATTCAATCCCATGCAATACTAAGACCACTAACTGCAAAGGACTAGAAATTCTTGAGGGAATGCTACTCAAAAGAAGTATTGGGTTGGTCCTCTCCCAACAGTTTCGTTTTCAGACTACGACTGATTTGGCATCAAACCCAGAATACAGCTCTGTACTCAAATTTCACACAATAAGAGTGCACCCATCTGCTTCCCCTCCACTTCCACCCTTCCCTGCTTTGTGAAGCATCTGAGCACAGCTTCTGACCTAAAACAGCTATGACAATATTCGTTGCTGGACCCTTTCCTGGCAAGCTATTTCAAAATATTCCTAAATAAAACCTGCAGAAATCTAAAACCCTAATTTGGAGAATTCTCTCATTTGCACAGATAATCCGTATTACAGATTAACAAAATTCAATTTCTATAAAAAGTTTCCCAGCTGAGAAGATAGCACACAAAAAGAATTTCTCTGCAAGGTCATGTGCTGCATCTACTGGCAGCAATGGATCTGTTGCACACTTTTAATCCAGGTGCAGCAGCCTGGCTTGGTAAGGATGCTGGAAGCTGGCATAATCTTGTGTTATTTTAGCCTAATTATGCAGTTTTATCTGTACCCATTCAGTCCAAAGAAGAAGTCATTTACTGAAACAGAGGAAGAAACTATACTGGGCAAATTTATCTGCTGCTGCCTGAATCTGCACCAGGATATTTAATCTGTGAGTTCAAACACATTTCCAACTGCAACAGTAAAGGGCAGAAGAGTAGAGTCAGTATGGGTGAGGTGTCAGATTGGAAACACTGGACAGCTGAGACTTTTCAGGGAACTATATGCACCAAATCCACTATTTATTTCATTGGCGATTGGTGGATAGTCTCTGTGCTGCTAAAAATGATGCTACTAAGTGTGGGCCATGTCCAGTTGTAGATGTTTGTATGAATTAACTGAGCAGGCATTTTTCCTGGACCTGCCAGGGTAGCAGCACTCCATGCTCCTGGAGGAAAAGCAATAATAATATGACATTTCATACACTTTATACACATAAAGGAATGTTCTGAAATGGACACACATTATCTGCCCTGCTCTCTTAGCTGGGTGAATCAAAACAATGCAGGTAACTAAACTTGCTGTGGTGACACACTGAGTTAGAGGAGATCCTGAAGGACAGACACAAAGGTCTAACTACCAGACCACATCTCTGTAACCTGCCTGGCCCAAAGAGGAATATGGTGCTCATCTCATGTTTCTTATTGCTATACCCACTGCCAGTCATGTCAGCCTATGAAAGCCTCCAACAAAAGCACGGAAGAAACCAAACCACTTAAATACTCCAGCTTGCAGGATTTTTCTCAAGACACTGTCTGGGAGATTTACATTAGATCCTCTTTCTACCCCACTCTCAAAATAAATAGCATGGAACAGCCTCCTCTCTGTGTTCTTTAAACCAGCCTGGATTTGCTCTGAAAAGTCATTCAATACACTGCTCTCTGCAACAATTCATAGCTGAGGCAACCGGTTAGTAAAATGATCTCACAAACCCCTGCAGAAAACAGGAGCTATTTAATGCAGTTTCTTCCATCTGGCTGGAAAACTCTGGTCATGCAGGAGGCAAAACTCAGAAGAACTTTAATATAACCAGGAAATTTGGCAAGTTTGAACCCACCTCTGTCCAGACAAGACAATATTTGGATCCTGCTCTCACATTATGGAGCAGACAGTTAAATCTGTGTATGATCAGTCTGCAAATCTCATCACCAGAAGATATTACTGGGATCAAGAGATTAAGGATTTAAATGAACGGGGAAGACTGCATATTTATATGGTTAATAAGAGTAACACAGTTATATTAGTTGGGATTATTATTAAATATATGGCAGAGTTGATAAAAACCTGTGGCTCACAGCCAGAGCACTAAGCACAGCTCTGATTTTCCTGTGAATTGCAGGTTACCCACATTGGGGTTCTTCCTCCTTCCTCAAAAGTACCTAGTACTGGTCACATTTTTGAGATCAGGTCTTAAACTTAGAAGGTATCACCTTTCTCCAGTCCAGGGACCCTTGTTTTCCTAGAGAGGAAGAGTACTTGACTTCTAATGCTCAACACTACAGGGCACAGGATCTCACAGTACAGAACAGAGCAAACTTCACTGATGGCCCTCCCTCCCACCCCCTCACTTTAAGCCTATCCTCATTTATTTCATTTTTTGGTAACCTTTAGAGTTAGTGTTCATTCACTGTCTGTGAACGCTGCATGTCCATGACTGTGGCCAGGACCAGATCTTTGTCTAGCTCACAGAGATATTAGGCTGCTCTGAGAGCACATTTCAAAGCTGAGGAGTGGTACCCTGTTACTGCCTTCATTCAAGTGGACAGAGCAGCAAATGGAGGGGCTGACCTCCTGCAGCTTCTGTTTGAGGCAAAATTCAAAAAGACAATTTCAGGATGCTGTGAATAACACAGCTGTAGATGCTTCTTAGTTGTTTCTTCTGTCATCTCAACACTGGAGTTCCGAAATGTTATAAACCCTGAATCTCACTGTACAAATGTATTTTGCTTTGAAAGCATAACCATATATACTAATTTTATACTACTACATATATACTACTTTAATGGCCTTCTAGTTTGAATAAACCACTCAAGCTCTGTTGTCAGAGATCTCAATTTTAATTATTTTTTAGGGCTAAAACTAGTTCATCACATAATGGTATATTTTAATCACAGATTAAAACCACAGTTATATGCTGTATGAAAAAAATAGCTGTTGCAAATGGTCTGCCATTCTCAGTAGAGAAACACAAACTCTTAGAGTAGAACCTGGATTTCACAGAACCAGCCAGCAGATCCAAGCTACCTTTTAATTATATTTTAGAGTGTGGCAAATAATTAATTTATCTGTTGCAGCTTATCCCTATTTGTTAGAAAATAATCAAGACCTGACTTGCTCTCAAGCACTGCTATTAGCACATTTTCAGATATCTGTATTTATTTCTTTGGACAAACAATTCTGTTACTCAGTTTAAGCCAAGGCCTTAACCAAGCTGTATTTCGCCACTGAGCGCAGTAGACAGCAAAGAGAAGTGCTAATGATTTTTCTAGCCAAGTTTTCTTAAATAGACTTCTAATCACATTTGAGGGCATTGATATTTTAGCAGAAGTAATAGGAATGTAGGTTCAGATCTCTAGGAATGGTTAGCAAAGGGGGGGAAAGAATAGCTGATGGCCTCCCTGTTATTTCTATTTGCCTGTGGATTTATAGGGTGCCTGTCCTACCTGGATGCCTATTATTCTTAAGTGGTGTGGAGTTTCCCAGTTCCACCAGATAACCAGAGGACACATACTGTGTGTGACACACAGCCACTTGAAGGCCTGAAACAGCTGATTCCTCCATTAGCTCAACAATTTCTAAACCAATCCTATTTACCTGGGCTGAAGTCTTGGGATAGGACTTTCCTGTAACCTTGTGTGAATCCTAAGACCCCACAGCTTCAGAATATCATACAAAAACACCCAGGAAGAAGCTATACTGGCAATGCAGTGGGATGACCTCCAGTTGGATGCCTATTCAGACATTTCTCCCATTTCTCTCTTGCTCCAAAAGTGTTATTAGTGCGTCATCCTCCTCCTGGCTACACAAAGCTCTTAAGGCAGCATGTAAGAGCTGCCATTTTTCACTGTCATTTTCACAAATGTTTTCTCTACACCATTTAAAATGATGGTGTGCTGTTTTTGGAAAATTTACAAATAATTTGGTGCTTAGACAAAAGAAAGACCAAAGTTCTCATGTTAAAAAGCCACAACTTTCCATGTCAGGCAAAATTCCTTAGATGTGGTGGATGTGGACTGTTATGCAGAGAAAAACCAATTACAAGCTAGGAGCTGAGCAACTCCTAATGAAATTAAATACACCTCTTCCCCTTCTGCTCTATCCATCACTCATTTTAACTACAGCCTCTGTGTGATTTCATTTGGAAGACACAAAGAAAAGCAGCATAACTGACTTTGTTCTCTGCACTGTCTCTCAGTAACGTGGATGTTTTCCAGGGGACAATTTTAAGGTGCTGATCATGATAAATTTTATAAATGCCACAAAAATACAAATGATTACTTGTGGAAGCCAGCATGGATCTCCAGAGACATGGCAAGTAAAGCATGCACAATTCTTTGAGGAAACCACAAGTTCTAGTTGATAAAAACAACATCAATGAAAGAGACTTTTTTTGAGGTGTTTGCTTTAATACTGCATGACGTATTGCAGAGAGTTAATTTTAAAATCAGGTTCAGGAACTTATACATTAAGGGATTAAAATCTGATAAATTACTGGGATGAAAAAAGTCCTCAAAGTGAAATCACTCATAAATTTGCTGTTCTAGCAGAGCCCTAGCTGAGGTACCAGCCCAGTATCCACATTTTTCTTAACAAACATTTGTCTATAACCCAAAGATTACAGAAACAGTAATTACCAGTGAGGCCAATGCCTCACTATATATATATATATATAGTGATCTATGCCAGGATGGTTGGAGAGCTGAACCCAACAAACAAAATTCATTTTTGTAAGATATTATGCATTAAAGAAAAAAGAACAAAAGAGCTTTATGTCCAAGCAGGGAGATTACATCCCAAGAGCAGCAACTGTGTAAAGGATTTAGCGGTCACAGTGGCTAGGCAATTCTGCATCATCTCCTATGGCAGA